GACCCTGGACCACAAATTAAGTTTTAATATATTTACAGTAGGAAATGTACAAAATATCTTCATGGAACATGATCTTTACTTAATATCCAAATGATTTTTGGCATAAAAGAAAAATCAATAATTTTGATAATTTTTTTGGGCTATTGCTACAAATATACCCCAGCGACTTAAGACTGGTTTTGTGGTCCAGGGTCACAAATAGTAATTAAAAACACTGAAAAGTTTCAAACGTTTAAAACAGTAAAAGTTTTTAGAAGTTAGTTACAGCTTTTCTAAATTTGTTTTCGCTCATTTTTTGAATGAACATTCTCTAAACAGAATTGTCACAACTGTTTTATGGGACATCACAATTCAAGTCTGGATAATGTAGTAACTCACCTGAAACATTTAATTCATGCTTCAAAACCTAGTTTTGTGTCCAAATAAAACACAGATAAAATGTCATCTTAAAATATGTCAAACAACAGATGTCTAACATAAGTTAAATATTTGTCTGGTATAAGTCTAGTTTAAATCGCTTCCGTTTAATTAATTTTGAGCTGTTCAGATAAAACAAGGTTGGAAACAGGTTAACAGGCAGAGAAGGTTTAAATCTGGTCTGATCAATGGAATGTTTATCTGTATTCTAACAGCTGTTCATATTCTCAGAGTTAGAGTGCCATAAACAATCTAAGCAGACATTTTGCTTCAAGAACACCAAATGGCCCATATGCCTCCTCCAAGCCCATTCGTTGATTTATGAAGATACTACACCCCCAAAAGAACACCTTTATCTGTAGCTTTTCAAACACTTTTCCTCCCATTGTCACTGGCAGTAGATACCACTTCACAGGTTTCTATCTACATGTTGTCACATGCCAGCATGTGGTGTGTGATACTTCTTAAAGGATGTGTCACGTTTCTTCTTGGTTTTTAAGACAAACTAGGCCTATTTCCTGTATCCCACTCACACCTTTCCACCGACTGTGATAATGTTTTACTGGGTTATTAATATACGATGGATTTAACAGCATCTCGACATACTCATAATTCTTTTCTTTTCGTCTCTCTGATCTTCGATCACCGATCTGTTCTTTAATCATTTCCACAAAGTGTCTGAAAGTTTACTTTTAAGTAGATCAGATGTGTCCTTGCTACTTGTGTTTCTTAAAAGTAATATCCTAGAAGTCTTACTTTTATAAGCCACTTGGACTTTTAAAGCCTGTTCCATTGCTAACAGAATTTTACACAAGGCACATACACGTATACCAGGTGTGCCTTTCGATGTTATGCCATGGACATTTACTAGTAAATAAATAAATTGTGTTTGCGTTTTGAGCTTAAACCAACCGGAAGAAACCATGTGATCATTTTATATGCCTTCGAGTTATTACAGTATCGCGGAAAAAACCAAAATTCCCCACAAACACGTATAACGCTCAGTGACGCAGGAAGGATGGCAACAGGCGTGTTCTTCACTCCTATTGGTCACACGTCGGCATTGCTGCTCCCTGATTGGTCAGCACACCACAAGCCCAAACTACATAGGCTTTGTTGAGGATCCATTTTGTTGTTAGAAGGAGATAAACTGGAGAAGGAGAAAGATACCATTCCGCTGTAGCCTCGGATTTGAATAATATTTCGCATATCGGGAAATATTTTCTCCTTTAACAGCTACAGCTGACAGACTAGACCAAGGGAAGACGACGGGCTTATTCCATCGAAGCCTGAGGAAGTCGGTAAGTTTTCTATTGAGTTAAAGACATACTAGGGAGTCGTCGACGGTATTGACGCCATGTTGAGTAAGAGTCTTTGTTTTGGTACGGGGCCAGAAAACATGACCTAATACCATTGTTTTTATCATTTAAAACCCAAGTTTATTAGTAAAACATTATAGAAATGACCTGCAATTCCGAACCAATTTAACTGAAAATGTACTTTTTTAATGGATAACAACCGTCAAGACATTGAGCACAATTGAGGAAGGTTAGATGTTGTTTATGTAATACCATATTCACAAAATATTTCGTACTATGAGGTTTAAATATAAATTATATGCAAATTTTTTTTTTGACCTTAATTTATTTTGCTATTTTCACTCATTGTTTTACACTAACAACTAGTTTAGTTAATGACTCAATATTCGTTTAGAAAATAAGCGTTACTAAATATGATTTAAAACGAAAGCATTTAGGAAATAACATTATATTATTGTTTCCTTTTGTTAGATTCACGGCTTCTAAAGCACCGTGCGCCGAGGTGAATTCATGTTCAGCTCGGTTACACGACAAAACAACGCTCATTGGCACATGAAAACTTCAGATCTTGCTGGACATAGATGTGCAGCGAGAAGTAGATCAACTATTTCGAGGACCTGGAGCCCGATTGGTGAAGAGAAGTTAAAAAGTGAAGAGAACCGTGCACTCAACTTTTCTACAACAGAGAGGTAAGCAGAGGAAGCGAGTGGGGGATGGGCGGAACGCGCTGCACGTAGCCCTTTGTTATTGTCAGTCTGCAACAAGGGACGTCTAATAATTATTGTAGGCCTGTTTTTAAACCAGTTTGCACCCTTTAGCTTTTGTAATTCAAATATGCACTTATTTCTCTTTCATTAAACAAGTTCTTTGTCTTCTGATAGGTGACATCCAATCAAAGCAGTATGGGAGGTGGCGAGAGATACAACATTCCAGATAGCCCGGCGCCCAAGAAGAGCAAGCAGAGAAGTCGAGACCAGAATGGAGTGGTGCATTCCGCCGCCTCGGGAGCCTTAGGGGTGCCCCATCACCACAGCCATCACAGGGGTGATAAGGGCACCAGCTATTCTTGGTCTCCTGAGGCGCGGCAGTCTGTAGACAAGAAAAATGCCTCAGTTCGTTTTGCCACACCTTATGATCAGAATTGGGAGGGTACCATGTCCCATCTGAACAAACTTTTGTCAGCTCAGTGTGGTCAGAACTATGCTGGAGCCAAGTTCAGTGAGCCCCCATCTCCAAGTGTGCTACCCAAGCCCCCGAGCCACTGGGTGTCTCTTCCCATGGGCACTTGCGATCATCGTGAGATGATGACCTTTGAGTTAAAGAGCCTCCTGAAGGTTCAGGCCTAAGAAGGTCACTCACTGCTGCTCTCTTAAGCCAATATATGAATGAAGGCTCTACTTGGGCATCTCGCCCTCCTCTTTAATGCTCCAGCTGCGTAATATATTTTACAGATTTTTATAGATTTGCGTCTTAATAAGGTGATGACCATTTGGCAGGCAGATGTTTCTCCTGGTGTTCATCACCTTACTTTTATTATTATTATTATTTTTTTAATGTATAAAAGCAAACCGCTCCAATAGATATTACGTCGCTGTAGCCTTAAGGGGCGGTCGAGAACTTTCAGTGAAGCCATATGCCATGACAAATGATGAACTGGGGATGTCCTCCTTAATAACTCATTGCTCTGTTATGCTCCTGTTTTGTTTTGTTCTGTTTGAGACAGTCAGTGTGTTTTTTGTTGTTGTTGTTTTTTATTTTCAACCAGGCCTAGGAGTAGACAAAATTCCCACCATTTAGTTTGCATTGTTTTTCGCTTGCTGAGGTTTGATGCATACTCTCGGCTTGAGTTTTAATCATTCAGGGAGTGTCAGAAACCTCTTGGTGCCAAGCACCGCAGCATTTGTAGCGTTATAGTGCATAATGCATTTCCAGGTATCTATTTTTATTTTGCTTTTTGGGAAGTAAAAGCCACTCGACTTCGTTCTGCAGGGAGACCTAAGCGAAAGAATATGAAGGGGAACAAGCTTAAGTGAACATGGGTCATTTGACTAACCTCAAGCCTAATGAGGTGGCACAACGGGCCTTGTGATTTCAACACCTGTACTTTTTTTTTTTTAATGGCGCTGTGCGCGTTGCACTATAGGTGTTGAAATTCTCTAAGGTTCACAAGCTCTATTGCAGCGTTAAACTTTCTTTTTGCATCCCTTGTGTTATAGCTTAGAAAACTAAGTGTGATTTTTTTAATGTTTACCAAAGCTAAGAAATGAGCAATTTTCTGTTGGAACCCCCCTTGCTTAACCAGATCTGGTTACAAGTGCCATAAATCATCGGGTAAGGCATTAGCATATATCAAGGTTTTGGTTGGCCAATCATTTTTGGAATTCATTTTTTTTTTTCCCCTGTTTTTTTTTTTCATTTTAACTGCTGTACTTTTGGAACGATCACAGAGCAAATATGCGGAAGAGGGTTATAAGGTGAGAACATAGGACGGATGTTTTCTGTGGTCTCGTCTCATAGCCTTGTTTGCTCTGTGATTGTTTTGATGCAAGCATTATGTTATGAAATGTGTGTATTATGGCAGGGGGGGACTGAAAAATAGGGCGCAAGTCCAGTGAGGACATGTTTACATTGTTTGTTTTATAAGAAGGCTGGCGGACGACATTATACACACACTGCCCTTTCTCACTTGTTGTTATTCTTGCACTGCTGTTCATTTGTGTTCAAAAGTTTCAGACAAAGTTGCTCTTTCAACTGTGGATATGATGAAGCACCCCTTCCCACTTAGTAATGAGTGTGGTGGAAACTACCTCTCTTGCAGAACGTGATGTTAATAACTATCTTAAAGATGACAAAACAAAGCTGATGAGTTTTGATGTGTAATAGAGCCATGTAAATAATGAAATGTATAAAATGTTGTAGCATATTGTACATTTGTGCAGGAATGTTTGAAACCTGCAGATAAAGTATTTTTAGTAATAACACTGAATGTAAAAGTCATGCTAAGGATGTGGCTTGTTTTAAAAAATGCTGAAGAATATTTTGTTAAAAAAAGAAAAAAAAATTGCATATAGTGCGTCAACCCCTGCACTGTGTGATTTGTTGCCAGTGATCTTGCACATATTTTTATTTTGTATAATGCACCATGTAGGGGCAGAGCGAGCTTTAAGTGCAAGTATAAAAAAAAGAAACAAAGAAAAGAAAAATGAATATTTTGAAACTGAAAGGGACTTTTGTACATTTTGTTTTCGAGTTGCCTATGCAAAAATTTTTTTTTGCATTGATATAACCCTCATTATTTTGCCCTTTGTCCAGAGTCCATAAAGCAGTGTTGCATTTGCCCCAAGTCACTGGTCTTTCCTCCGCGGGCCAATGTTTGAAGCCAGCGATGCTGCATTTTACCTCCAGAATGCCAGATAATATTTTAACCTTTATACATTTTGTTTTCGAGTTGCCTATGCAAAAATTTTTTTTTGCATTGATATAACCCTCATTATTTTGCCCTTTGTCCAGAGTCCAATAAAGCAGTGTTGCATTTGCCCCAAGTCACTGGTCTTTCCTCCGCGGGCCAATGTTTGAAGCCAGCGATGCTGCATTTTACCTCCAGAATGCCAGATAATATTTTAACCTTTTAAAGTAAAAAGTAAATTATTTTAATGGAATGTGTAAAAGTCCTTTTCCTAAATTTGGTTATCTTGAACAATTGGCTGTGAATTTATCCCGACCTTGAAAGCGTCACCTGAAATTAAAACTGAAAGCCCTTTTTGGTAAGAATTTGTATGTACTACAAGATTGTTTAATTTGGTTGTCTAAAAAAAAAGAATAAAATCCCTTCCCTTCCCCCAGTACTGTCTTTGTGTGTGCTGTTTTTAATCTGTAGGAGTTTAACATTTAAAAATGGATGGATGTTAGTCTTTTATTGCTGTTTGAACGGTTACAAATACAAGTTATTTTGATGTACAAATATTAATGATGTACAAATACATGTTTTTGTCAATAATCTTAAACACTTACTGCCAGTTCTAGCAGCAGGGCACATAGCACAAATTGACACTGTGTATTGGACTTCGGCCCAGAGTTTTGAAACCATTTACTGTGTGGCCCATGAAACTGATTATCTGTTTGGACAAGAACTCTGTCTGCTCACGTAGACCGCAGCACCCATTGGATATGTTTTATAACCGTGGTTTATCGCCATGAAAAGCCATTAACAGAACAATTTTTAAGAATTGTAGAAAATGTTTAAGTTCTTTGGAAAGATTTGAATATGCTTAGGTACTTTTTAAACATTTATATTGCATGATTATTACAATATAACAAAACCGGCAGATGACTTGTGAAATATCTGTCAATACAGACTAAACTCTGACTAAAAAAACAAGAGATGGAAAAAATTACAACATATAAATGAAATGCAGGAAATGAATGGTTGGTATCTGGCCGGAAACTTTAAGAAGTGATGTTTGCTTTAGAGAGCATGATTAAAAAACCTTACTCAACTATTGTAAATTACAAATGCCAATGATTATATTTTCTCTGTTGTTTACATTCTGTGGTTAGCCTGCAGTATTTGATTTACCCTGATAGCAACAGGACAAAAGGGTAAATAAAGTTATAATAACTACTGTAAAGAATACAAAATTACACATAATCCGGGGGCGGTAGTAAGTAACCCCTACAGCAAGTTCACTTCATCCCTGACTCTTAGCCTGTGGTTATTTAAGCAAATGGCTTGTAAATAACGTATTTGAATCAACTTCGCTTAACATCGCTTTGGAATTTAAAGTGCGCAACGTGGAATGCAGTGGTTTCTGTTTAGTTTTCGACAGCACCATCAGCTGGCAGCAGAGCTACATGACTGATTTAGATGATGCAGACGTAACATTGAAGAAACAACCGTTCCATGATTTAAATTGAATTCAAACCACTCAATACAACCTGAAGTAGTAGATATTACAATACAAACTCTTCAGTTTGTAGTCCACATTTAAAAACACTGTATTCAAAATGCACGTTTGCTGTATGAATGTGTATAATTTACATTGTAGAACAAAACGTGAAACTCTTTCAGTAATGTTAACTACAGATCTTATTTTACGCGAAAATCGACAGTAAAAAATGTATTTCCGGGGTTTGACTCCAGCGCAACACGGGAACTTTTATTATGAAAGAGTGGCGTATTTTTTGGTTTAACCAGGAACTGCTGGCGCATGCGTAGAACGAAGCGGTTCACCTGTCAAAGACTTTCATCAAAAATGGTTTCATCCGCAGTGTCAACGCTACCTGGACTGATGTCAACATTAACGCTGCTGTATAACAAATGGCTTTACTAAAAGCAGATATGTGATCTCGACAGCGGCATCCGGGAAAGCGTTTCTTGCTGTCAGTATACCCACCACCGACCGTTCTGACCGTACATCGTTCACAACCTATCCATTCAACCATCTATCCATCCATCTGCCCACAAGATTAACAAAAACAGCCAGCCCCTCACAGCTCAGACCTTCTCAAAAAAAAATCACCGTCCGACTGACAACGGTAAGCAGCAGCAGCAGCAGCAGCAGCAGCAGCTCACTGTCAAGGATCCGCTAACGTTATTCTATAGCGAGCCTACAGTAGCTTAGCAGTTAGCGTGTGTTCATGACATTTGATCGTGTTTGGTTGGTTATTCTGTCCGTGTGTGTGAGATGTCGTACCGAGTGGAAAGATTTGGAGATATGTTTACCATGAACCACTCATTCGTCATTGTCACACTGGCAAATCGCTTTGTAGGACCTCATAGGGGCCTTCTCATCTCATAATGGTCCCTTGTTCCCTATCAGCTGATCATGGGAAAGGACAACCAGCCTGCCACATTTGTTGGATTTTTGAATTTAGTTAAATTCAATTGAAAAAATGTGGAAGATTTAAAAAGGCTTCAGATTAATGTGTTTACGATCTTGTTTTGGTTTTGGCTATAGTAAAACCTGTGGGCTGTTATGGTGCATCTTAAAGGGACAGTTCGTCCTCAAATAGAAATTCTGTACACCCTCATGGTTTCTAAACTTGTATGACTTTTTCTTCAGTAGAACACAAAAGGAGATTTTAAGCAAAACGGTCACCATTGATTTTCATAGTGTAGAAAATGACCTATTCCTATTGTTTGGAACAATATGAGGGTGAGGAAGTGATGGTTTTCGGATGAACTGTCGATTAAATGCATTGTTTTCATTTACATTGTAGTTTTTTGAAAGAATAACATCGGAAATAACAACGGCAGATTACAGTGCCGTAAAATATGGAAGTATTAATTTTTTTCCTAGTCAGTGCTTTATTGTTATTGTTAATCTTTGCCCTTTATAGCTTTAAAGTGGCTCACCTGCAACTGAGTCACACCTGTTAATAATTCAACAGCGTCTCCACCAGTGACAGTGAGCTCTTCTGAACACTAAAGGGCCACTGTGTTTGGTTGAGTGTAAAAATATTCCACACAGTGAAGCTTAAAATGATAGCTCACCCAAAAGTGAATATTCTGGCATCATTTACTCACTCTCAAGTTGTTCCAAACCTGTATGAGTTTCTTCTGTTGAGCAAAAAGGAAGATATTTTTAATGTTGGTAACCAAACAGTTGATGGTAACCACTGACTTCCATGGTATTGATAAAATACTATTGAAGTCAATGATTATCGTCAATTGGTTTATTCAAAATAACTGCTTTTGAAACTCATACAGGTTTGAAACCACATGAGTAAATGATGACGATGTAAATTTTTGGGTGAACTATCCTTTTAATGTTGAGTATGCTGGAACCTGGGTGTGAGCTCTTTTTTTCCCTTATCAAGCATGTGATCTACGCTGCAATATTACTCATTGAGTACACTGCTTTTGATTGATTTTAACCTTTGTGCATTTTTTTCTTCTCTGTTCCTTTACACTGAAGGTGTGATGTTCCTTTGTGACCTTGGAATTGGCTTTTAGTCCCATTTTGTAGGACGATGAATGCAGAGGAGTTGGAACTCCTCGGGGACTCGAAATACAGGAACTATGTGGCAGCGGTAGATAAGGCCCTTAAAAACTTTGAGTACTCCAGCGAATGGGCCGATCTGATCTCAGCGCTTGGGAAGCTCAACAAGGTCTTTTTCTACACCCCCTTGATCACATTTAGAAGCTCCTCTAAATGTGGCAGTTGCTTTACTGATCTTGTTTTTTTGTATTTTGTGGACAGGTCTTGCAAAACAATGGCAAGTATCAAGTTGTGCCTAAGAAATTGACTATTGGAAAGCGTTTGGCTCAATGCCTCCACCCGGCGCTGCCCAGCGGGGTTCACCGCAAGGCTCTGGAGACCTACGAAATCATCTTCAAGATCATTGGACCAAAGCGCCTGGCGAAGGATCTTTTCCTTTATAGGTAGAGATTGTCCAAGAATGATTTTTCTGCTACAGTGACTTTTAGTGCCTAATATGTTCCTTTTCACCCTCCTCATCAGTTCTGGCCTCTTCCCTTTACTATCCAATGCTGCTATGTCTGTGAAGCCAGTATTACTTGGGTTATATGAGACCTACTACCTGCCCTTGGGAAAGACTCTTAAACCAGGCCTGCAGGGACTTCTGACCGGTGTACTGCCTGGTCTGGAGGAGGGCTCAGAGTATTATGACAGGTAAATTAAAAGGTTTTCATATTTACTTAATATGTACACTCCCGTGCCATTTTAAAAATGTTTTTCATGCTTCTTTTTTATGCTCTTCAAGGCTGCATTTATTTGAACAAAAAGGGAGTAAAACAGTAATATAGTAAAAAATTATTACAATTTAAAATGCTGTTTTCTGTTTTAATATATTTTAAAATGTAATTTATTGTTATGGCAAAGCTGAATTTTCAGCATTTTAATATGCTGATTTGGTTCCCAATAAAAATGTCTTATTATTATCAATGTTAAAAACGTTGGAAACGGTGATGATTTCCCCCCCCAGGATTCTTTGATTAATAGAAGTTCAAAAGAATAGATTTTTTTCAGAGTGTTTATTTTCACTTTGGGTAAATTAATATGCATCATTGCTGAATAAAACAATTTCTTTCAAAAAACAAATTCTTACTGACCTCAAACCTTTGAACAGTAGTGTATATTCGAATACTCTAAAATATACTTAAAAATAAATAAATGAAATAAATGTTAAATTAAGGAAATTTCAATGTATTAATAAGGCAAATGAGCATGTGCAATGCAATATCTAATATTGGCGAAAATATATCCTATATCGACAAATACAGATGAACAAAAACAATCTCCAGTATCAGCTGGCAACTGATATGTTTCCTGACATATTGTGCATCTCTAATCTTAATCTTATTTCATCTGTTGTCCAAAGGACCAATACTCTGCTAGAAAAGGTGGCAGCTGCTGTGGAGCAGCCGGCCTTCTACAGTGCCCTGTGGGGCAGCATCCTAACCAGCCCTGCTGTGCGCTTGCCTGGAGTGTCCTTTGTCTTACTGCACCTTAACAGAAAACTATCCATGGAAGACCAGCTGTACATCATTGGCAGTGACATAGAACTGATGGTACACTGATCAATAGACATAATGCAAGCAAAACAGCCCTTAATAATGAATGATTCAAAATATAGAAATTGTTCAGTTGGCCGCCACAGAGGTTTTTTTCATGTTTATATCATTGTTTTTATCAGGTGGAAGCAGTCAGCACATCTGTACAGGATTCTAGTGTGCTAGTGCAGAGGAGCACCCTGGATCTGATCCTGTTCTGCTTTCCTTTCCACATGAGTCAGGTGACAATACTGATTTATTTAAGACTTCTTTCACCTTTATTTGTCCCAATGCTAAGAACATTTCCTAAAGTTCTCTCCGAGATCCATCTTTGTTGCTTCTCAGG